GGGCAGAGAGGTGATCAATACAGAAGAAGAAGAGAAATTAATATTTATCGTTTAAATAGATGGAAACCCTGTGAACTCTTTTCAAATAATCATAAGACGTAGGAGCAGAAGTAAATCATTCAGCCCCTCAAGCCTGCTCCACCATTCAATGACATTATGGCCAGATCTGATAATCCTTGCCATCACATTCTTGCCTTTGCTCCATAACCCTTGATTCTCTTACTGATTTAAAAATCTGTTCGTTTCAGCCTTGAATATACTTGAAGACCCAGGCTCAACAGCTCTCTCCGGTAAAGAATTCCACAGATTCACTGCCCTCTGAGAATTAAAATTCCTCCTTATCTCTGTCTTAAAAGAGTAACACCTTCTTATTCTGAAATTATATCTCTAATCCTAGACTCTCTCTCAAGAGGAAACTTTTCCAAATCTCTACTGTCAAGTCCCCTAAAAGCCTTTTATGTGTGAATAAGTAACTTCTCATTCTGTCAAACTCAAGTGAGTACAGACCAAACTACTCAACCTTTTTTCATACGACAGTTCCTCTATACGTGGGATCAGCCTAGTGAACGTTTTCTGCACTCCTTCCAATGCCAATATATTATCCTTAGAGCAGTTGCCCAAAACTGTTCAGTTGCAATTGTGGAACAAAAACAGAAGTTGCTGGAAAAGCTCAGCAGGTCTGGCAGTATCCGTGAAGAAGAAAATCAGAGTTAACGTTTCAGGTCTGGTGACCCTTCCTCAGAACTCAATTCCAACTGTGGTCTGACTAGTACCTAGTATAGTTTGAGCAAAATGTCATTCTCCTTGAAAAATAAAGTCATTTCCATTTACCTTCCCTGTTATCTGCTGAACTCATACAGTAGCTTTTTGAAAGTTGTGCACAAGGACTGCTGAATCCATCTATTCATAGCTTTCTGTCATCTGCAAACTTGTCTACAGTACATTCACTTTGCTTAGCATTAATGTATATTACGAATAATTGTACTCCCAACACTGATCCCAAATGCTCCATTAGTTACAGATTGCCATCCTGAAAATGGTCCTTTTATTCCAAATGTAGTTGACCAATTCTCTATCCGTATTAGAGATATGCTACCTGCAACACCCTGGGCTCAACATAATAAGGAGCTTAAAATGTGGTACCTTATCAATTGCCTTTTAAAAATTCAAATATATTACAATGCCTCCTTCCCCTTTATCAATTCTGCTTGTATTTTCCTCAAAGAATTCAAATTAATTTGCCATTCATGATTTCTCCTTTGTGAAGCCAGACTGACTGCTTGATTACATTATGTATTTCTAAATGTTCTGCCATTGCATCCTTTCTAATAGACTCTCTCATTTCCCAAGAACAGGCACCATGCTAACTGACCTATTGTTACCTGTTTCTTTTGTCTCTTTCCCTTTCTAAATGAAGGTGTCAGATTGGCAGTTTTCTCATCCTCTGGGACTTTTCAGAATCTAAGAATTCTTGCAAGATTACTACCAGTGCATCTACTATCTCATTAGCACCCATCAAGTCCAGAGTACTTACTGATCTTTAGGCCCATTGATTTCCCCAGCACTTTTTCTCCAGAGTCATAGATTCAGACAGCACAGAAATAGACTCTTTGGTCCAACCAGTCCATGCTGCATAATCCCAAACTAAACTAGTCCCACCTGGCTGCTCCCAGCCCATATCCCTCCAAACCTTTCCTATTCACATAACCATCCAAATGTCTTATAAATGTTGTAATTGTACGCGCGTCCACCATATCCTCAGGAAGTTCATTGCACACACAAATCACCCACTGTGTAAAAAATTTACTCCTTGTGTCTTTTTTAATTCTGTCTCCTCTCATCTTAAAAATATGCTCCCAATCTTACGGAAAAGACAACTACTATCAATTCTATCTCATTATTTTATAATCTTCTAGCAGGTCACCTCTCAACCTCCTATGCTCCAGTGAAAAAAAGTCCCAGCCTATCCAGCCTTTCTTTATACCTCAAACCTTCCATACCTGGCAACATCCTGGTAAATCTCTTCCAAACCCTGTCCAGCTTGATAATATCTTTCCTATAAGTGGGCGACCAGAACCGGACACACTATACCAGAAGAGGTCTCACTCATGTCCTGTACAATCCCAACTCCTATACTCGAAGGACTGAGCAATGAAGGCAAGCGTGCCAAACGCCTTTTTAACCATCCTGTCTATATGTGATGCAAACTTTAACGAATTATGCACCTGTACCCCGGGTCCCTCTGTTCTACAACACTACCCAGGGCCCTATCATTAATTGTATAAGTCCTACCCCTGTTTATTGCACCAAAATACAATACCTCGCATTTATCCAGATTGAACTCCATCTGCCATTTTCCAGCCCATTGACCCATTTGATCAAGATCCCTTTGTAACCTTAGAAAACCTTTTTCACTGTCTACAATGCCACCAATTTTGGTGTCATCTGCTAACCATGCCTTCTACATTCTCATCCAAATCATTTTATATAAATGACAAACAAAAGAGGACCCAGAACTGATCCTTGTGGAACACCGCTGATCACAGGCCTCTAGTCCAGAAAGCAACTCTCCACCATTACTATCTGTTTCCTGCCATTAAGCCAATTAAGTAGCCAATTGGCAAGCTCACCCTGAATCCCATGTGACCTAACTTTACTAATTAGTCTACCATGCAGAATCTTGTCAAAGGCTTTACTAAAATCCAAATAAACAATGTCTACTGCTCTGCTGTCATCAATCTTTTTGGTAACTTAGTTAAAAAAACTCAATCAAGTTTGTGAGACATGATTTTCTTCATACAAAACCATGCTGACTATCCCTAATCAATTTTTGCCTCTCTAAATGTCCATAAATCCTATCTTTAATAACCATCGCCAATGGTTTGCCCACAACTGAAGTCAGGCTTGCAGCTCTGTAGTTCCCCAGTTTCTCCTTACAACCTTTCTTAAACAAAGGTACAACATTAGCCACCCTCCAGTCATCAGGCACCTCACCCATAGTTACAGATGATGCAGATATTTCTGCAAGCGGTCTCGTAATTTCCTCCCTTACTTCCCATAACATCCTAGGATGCATTAGATCAGGTCCTGGAGATTTATTCAACTTTATATTCTCTAAGACCTCCCGAACTGCCTGTTCTGTAATGTGAACTGTTTCTAAAACAACAAAGTTTATTCCTCTGCATCCTCTAGACTCCATTTATTTCTCCACAGTCATAGTCCAATGATAGTTATTGAACCTACTTCCTCTCCTTCTTTTGCCCCCGATTATTTAGTAATTTTGGAATGCTATTACTGTCTTCTACTACAAAGCCTGATGGAATGTATTTATTCAACTCCTCTGCCATTTCCTGGCTTCCCATTATTTCCCTAGTCTCATTCTCTAAGGAACTTATGTTCACTTTGTCTTTCTCTTTCTTTATGTATTTAAAGAAGCCTTTGCTGTCTGTCTTGATATTACTTGCAAGTTTACCCTCAAAGTTTATCTTCTCCATTTTTTGATTATCTTTTGTTGTTTTTTTTCCAAACTTTCCCAATCCTCTGCCTTGCCATTAATTTTTGCCACATGGACATAGAACAGTACAGCACAGGAACAGGCTCTTCAGCCCGCCATGACAACGCTGACCAGGGTGCCATTCTAAACTGATCCCATTTCTTTCAGTTTGATGCTAGCCTTAATCTCCCTGGTTAACCATGGTTAGTTTTATTTCCCTTCCCAGAATCCCTTTTTCTCCCAGGGATATAACGTTGCTGTGAACAACAAACAATCTTCTCAAATGTCTGCCTTTTTTTTCTCAACCGTCTTTGCTGCCCATTCCAGCTTGCTGTGGCCTCATTCCTTTGTAATTGCCCTTGTGTAGGCTTAGCACAGTTCTTTCTAACCGAAGATCATCCTCACTGAATACTAAATTCTGCCATATTATGGTCACTGTTTCCGAGAGAATCTTTTATTTTAATATCATTCATTACATTTGCCTCAGTTCACATCACCAGATCTAAAATAGCCTGAACCCTCGTTGGATCCACTACGTATTTGTTTAGGAAACAGTCTCAAACTCACTGTGTATAAATTGTTCCTCATGGCTACTTTTACCAATCTTTACTGAAGAGCTGTTGTAGCTTTGAGTCCTTAAATATATTCAAGTTTATGATAGATTTTTAATCAGTCAAGGAATCAAGGGTTACAGGAAAAACAGCAGGAAAGTACGGTCAAGGATTATCAAATCAGCTATGATCTCATGGAATGGCAGAGAAGCCTTGATGGGCTGAATGGCCTACTTCTGTTCCAATATTTTATGAACTTTTGGTTTGAACAAAAATATCATGGACAAAGTAAAAAAAAAAAGTGTTTAAAAACAAAAATGCTGGTTCTTGTTATAATTAGGAAACTTCCCAAATTACTTAGACAAAAATCTGATTTATTGTAGTGCTGTTACACAATTAAAAGCTAGAAATGTAGTTGACAGAATCATTATTTGACGGGATTTCTATATTTCAAAGTGTTTAATCTATTGATTTTTGAAAATGCTGCATCTCTGGGTGAATTGTTAGAAATTTTAAGCAGAATTACTGGATATTTTGTGCAAGTTCTCAATAGTTTATACTTGCATGGTTTCCAGGCATAGCCATCTTTTCCTTACTGAATAGGAAACACTTCTTTAACAGAAATCATCCACCAATGTGATGGACTAAAAGGAAAAGCATAAATGGTGTGAACTTGAAATTTTCCTATATGGTATTGTAAATGATAGCAACCAAAAGGGAAAGAAAGCTTAGCATTTCAGATGTAATCTTTAGTTAGAACTGACAAAATAACAAGGGCACAAACATGGAAATTAAATATATTGCTATTTATTTTCATGAGAAATAACAGCTGAAATGTTAACTTGTCTCTAAGATGTTGGTCTGCCATATGATAGATTCTATTTCTGTACCAATGTATGCTTCAGATAACCTCGTGAGGCATCTTTAATCTTTACTTGTCATCACTTTATTTCTAGTCCTCCTGGTTCCCCAACCAACATTGGCTATTTCCCATCACCTGCTGCCACCTTGCCAACCCAGCATGGCACCATCGTCAGGATGCAAGGACTAGCTTACAACACTGGAGTCAAGGAAATCCTTAATTTCTTCCAGGGCTATCAGGTTAGTAGCTTCATGAAAAAAAAAATTAGATCAGTGTGTATATTTAAGACTGAGATAGGTAGATTCTTAATCAGTAGGGGAATCAAGACTTAAAGGAAAAGGGCAGACAAGTAGCCTTGAGGAGTGCTGGATCAGCCATGATCCTATTGAATGATGGAACAGGCTCCAAGGGGCCAAATGGCATACTGCTGTTCCTATTTTTTATGGTCTGTCAGCTTATGGGACTTTTACTCAGTTATGTAAAGATAAACTTAATTGCTTCTGCAAAACTATTACAGGAACATGCAGAATTTCCATCATAATTGGATCCATTCCAATGTAGCTATTTGTACAAATTGTGTTGAAACAATCTTATTGATTGGCATAATATTGTGTGTTTCATCGTCAGTTTGTGCAGTGTTAACTGATCTCAGTTGACTACAACATGTGATCTTGCATCATAGCCCTTCTGTGCAATAATCATGGTTTTGGGGTCTTTGCACTTGTGTTTGATAGTGATAACTGTGCAGTTGAGTGACCTGTTGACACACACAGTCCTGATGTACCAGTGATAATGATTAAATGGGTGGGGTACTTCAGATTTGCTAGCACTGGTGCAGCCAGATTGTATTAAGCTCATTAAGGAAAAGAGGAACAACGTGGAGACAGACAGAGCTGTTGAATTGTATTTGCCTTTTAAGTGTTCATTGGATTATGTGATATGACAAGAGGTTTATTCACCATTTGACTACTGGGATGCAAGCTCTTCACAGATTTTGGAACTCTAGTTCAGGTTTGGTGCTGAAACCTTTTTAGCATTTTCATCAACAAATTTTGCAAACCAGTTGCCAACATAATGTCAGATTGTGTTCGTGGCAAACAGCTTCTTAAACATTTTTAGAAATACAATATAAAATTGCAACGGAACGAAAAACATAATTATGGCATCAGGGGACAGGATAACCAGAGATTGTCACAGGTAATGCTTGGATTCACTTAAATCTCTAATGACCTATGGTATATGATTCATTGGTATGTGTGAAAGTCAGTCAACAATAACTGTTGTAATACCATCCCTTTTAGCCTGTTTACAGAAACATGATCATGAAATTGATATTCACTATCAAAGTAGAATCATTTCATATTTACAGAGCACAACATTATTGGAGCATTATACCCAACTGACAATTTATAGCAGCATGAATACATGCATTATGTTTCTCTCATTGTAAAAATAGGGTGGAATCCTCAATGAATCCTGTACTGCACTTGTTTTAAGATTGTTTCTAACTAACAAACATATGTGCAGATATTAATTACTATACAATGGTTTATTGACTCACAGTTCAGGTGAAATAGTCACAAGAGTACCAATAATTGCTAATAGCCTAAGTAGCAATTCTTCACAGTGAATGTTGACCGACTGTTGGGTTTGTTGATATCTGATGCCAAAGTTCATTATTCAAATAATCATTTCCAACAAGAGTTACTGGAAGCAAAAACATCTGCTCACTCTTGGTATGAGCACATCTGAGACCAAATATTGCATTTGTTTTGCGCTATGCAGATGAAGTAATCTAGTATAAAGTAGAGATTCTTCCCAGGCATGTATTATACAATGTCACCTCATGCAGTGCACATGCTCACCCTGTTCTTGTTTGTATCATCGTACTCACCCCCATCTTTAAGAAGAATGAAGTTTTTTTTGAAATACTTCAATGATAATACCTTGTTACGTATGTGGGGATAGATTATAACATATTCCTTTAATGCGAGCAGAGCAGTGTCAGCTATATTATCATCTTGTTGGATGGGCTGATCATAAAATGTGAAATGATTTTTTTTGTCATCGAATCCCTACAGTGTGGAAACAGGCCCTTCGGCCTAACAAGTCCACACCTTGAAGCATCCCACCCAGACCCATCCCCCTATAACCCACACACCCCTGAACACTACAGGCAATTTAGTATGGCCAATCCACCTAGCCTGCACATCTTTGGACTGTGGGAGGAAACCGGAGCACCCAGAGGAAACCCACGCAAACACAGGGAGAATGTGCAAACTCCACACAGACAGTCGCCCGAGGCTGGAATCGAACCCGGCTCCCTGGCGCTGTGTGGCTGCAGTGCTAACCTCTGAGCAACCGTGACACACTTTTAATACTTTTATTTTATCTATCTTAAGTAATAACATTATAGCAACAAACGTCTCAGAATATTTAGTGTTGACTGTTTACTTCTCTTTATACCAATGGTTCCAGGAAGCCTATTTTAAGGCCTTTGGAAAATTGGACATTACAAAGTGTTTCAACATATGTTATTGGCTTTGCTACTTCTTTGTGATTTTACAGAGCATTATACTGAGTGTGCTAAAGGGAATTCCATTCACAATGAGTTATTTGTGTGAATTGAGGGGAGTGTCAATGTGGTGTAATTTGTTCCTACGCTGCCATGTTAATTATCTACAAGGATAGAAATAGTCACATGATAGCATTATCTTGTTGATGTAATGAAAATTTGACTTGACCAGGGATACAAATGGCAGCTCAACATCGAATTTTTCAGGCAGGATAGAGAAGGGAATAAAACTGATGGGGTGCAGCATTATTGGTTAAAGAAGGGATTATGGCTCTGAGAAGTAATGATACACTAAATAAAGCATCAAATGAGTCAATTTGGGTTGAGCTCAAAAACCAGATGGGGCAGTTACACTATGAATTATGTACTATAAATCTTAAGTGTGAGACAGAGATAGAAAGCAAATATGTCTGCAGATTTTTAAATGCAAAAACAAGATGGAAATAATTGATGGGGCCTTCAAATTCTCTGTTATCTACCGGGATACAAACAGTGTGAACAGCAAAAAGGGCACTAAATTCTTAAACTGCATTCAAGATAACTTTTTGAGCCGGCATCTAATAAATCCAACAAGAGGGGTGCAATTCTAAATTTGGTCCATGGAAATGAAGCTGGCCAAATGGATGAAGTAGCAATGGATGACCATTTTGGAGACAGTAATCTCAATACAGTTAGTTTTTGTATCATTATGGAATAGAACAAAGATAGAACAGAAGTAACAGTTCCAAATTGGGAAAATCAAACTTTACAGGATTGAAAGATGATCTTGTAAAGGTGGACTGGTTAAATCAACTTGAACAAGGGCAGTAGCAAATCAGTGGAAGATATTCAAAGCAAGATTCTATGGCCACAGTAAAGGCAAATGAAAGAAAAGTACTGCCAAAGCTAAAGCCCTTTGGTTATCCAGAAACATACAGCTTAAGATGAAACAGAAAAATAGAGCTTCTCATAATCTCAAAGAAGCGTAAACACGTGTAGAAAGGATGGAGGTGAAGTTTAAAAAAAGAAACTAGTAAAGCAAAGACAGAATACAAAAAAGAATGGCCACTAATATGACAAAAATCCAAAAATGTTTTTCCAATACCGTAAGAACAAAAGGATGACTTAAAGGGTTGGGCCTATCAGAAATGTACAAGGTAACTTGTGTGTGGATGCAGAAGATATGAGAAAGGTTCTAAATAAATATTGTACCTCTGGGTTAACAAAGGAGGGGAATTATGCAGGGAATAAATCACCTGGAACAAGCAAATTATGTACTAGGCTGTTAAAGGAAGCCATAACGAAATAGCAAATGCCCTAAGGATTGTTTTCCAGTTCTCACTAGACAGAGGCAAGGTACCAGAGGGTGGGAGGTTTGTGAACATTGCACCATTATTCCAAAAGGGTGCAAGGGATAGGCTAAATATTTATAGACCAGTCAGTCTCATTTCTGAGGTGGGCAAATTACTGGGATCAATATTGAAAGATAGGATTAACTATTACTTGGATTAATCATGGATTAATCAGGGATAATCAACATGGTTTTGTTAAAGGAAGCAGGTGTCTAACAACGTTAATTGAATTTTGAGGAAGAAAGAAGGAGAATTTATGAGGGGAGTGGAATTTGTCTACATGGATTTCGGTGAGGTATTTGACAAGGCCCCACCTGGCAGATTGAAAAAGTAAAACCCATGGAATTAAGAGGAACGTGACAAGTTGAATCCAAAATTGGCTCAGTGACGGAAAACCAAGTAATGGTTGACCAATGGTTTTGTGAATGGCAAGAAGCTTCCAGTTCTGTTCTGCAGGGCTCAGTGTTGGATCACTTGCTGTTTGTGAAATATATTAATGATTTAGGTTTAAATTTGGGAAGCGTAATTGGGAAATTTTCCAATGACACAAAAATTGGCCAAGTAATTAATAGTGAAGAGGATTGCTATTGACTGTAGGATGACATCATTGGTTTGGCTAGGGAGGCAGAAAAGTGGCAAAAGGAATTCAACAAGAAGTGCTGTTCTGCATTTGGGCAGGGCAAACAAATCAAGGTAATACACAATAGACAGGAGGGTATTGAGAGTGTTAGAGGAAGTGTGGAATCTTGGAGTGTATGTGCACAGGTCCCTGAAGGCAGCAGGACAAGTCAATAAGGTGGTAAAGCAAGCATATTGGATGCTTTCTGTAATTGGGCAGGGTACTGAATACAAAGCTGAGATGTAATATTGCAATGATATAATACACTGATTAGGCCATAGGTGGAGTTTTGTGTACATCCTAGTCACCACATTACAGGAAGAACATTTTTGTTTTAGAGACAGTACAGAGGCAATATATTCAAATTTTGCCAAAGCTTGAAAATTGCAACTGAGAAAAGTTTGGATAGACCAGTGTTACTTTCCTATGAACAGAAGAGGCTGAAAGGTGTCTTAATTGAAGTGTACAGAATAATTGAGGAGCTTGGATAGCATGGTAAGGAAGTCCCGTTTCCTCTAGTGAGGAAGTCAGTTACCAGGGAGCACAGAGTTAAGGTAGGAAGATTAGAGGGGATACGAGGAAGCAGTTTTTCACTCAGGCAGAGGTGGGTTTCAGGTCAGTTTAAAGTTGAGGCAGAAACCCTCAAGACATTTACACTGAATGTGGATCTGCACCTGCAGCATTGCAATATGGATCAAGAGCTGGGAAGTGGGATTTGAATGGGTGGCTAGTTTATTTAGCCAGTGCGGACACAACGGGTTGAATTCTGTGCTGTAACTTTTCCATCAATTTTGGTTCGAGTGTGTAAATAAAACAAGTGAATATGTTGGTTTTTAACAAGGATTCAACAATCTCTCTTTTAAGAAATTTGAAATCCCAGTGATTGAGTTAGAAGAATTGCACAAGATTTCAAATTTT